GTCAAACTTAGTCTGAAGTCTCTGATGATTATCGGTCAGAGACTTGGTTCGATTCAATTCCTCACCCAACAGGTCATCGCTTCTGTCTAGTTGATTTTGAATCTTTTCTAAAGCCTTCTGTTGTTTAACAACAATTATAGCAAGTTTGGAATAGCTAGGCTTAAGATTGTCATCAGATTCATCCTCACTAGAGTCAAAGGGGGAATGTTTGAGTACCTTGGCACCTTTTGCCATGAAGCAATAGGTGGGAGCATAGTCATCGACGCTTTTGTCAGCAAAGTTGGGGAGGTCATTTTCTTCAGTGTTGAAGATGGACTTGCTGACATAAGCAGTAGCAAGGGCCAAGCTCGCCACACTAGAGTCTGACTCCTCAGGTTCCTCCTCTTCCACATTATCCTCAGATTCAACTTCAGAGTCCATTTCCTTGCCAATGAATGCCCGGGCCTTCTTGGAACTGCTCTTCTTGTGAGATGAAGACTTTGAAGATCTTGATGATGAAGACTTTGAAGATTTCTTCTTCTTCTTTGAGTCATCAGAGTCATCATGTTTGTGCTTCTTCTTCTTTGATTCCTTTTCCCACAGAGGACAATCAGACATGTAGTGACCAGGTTTCTTGCATTTGTGGCAAGTTCTCTTCTTGTAGTCACGAGACAAGGAATCATCATTTCTTGAAGACTTTCCAAAACGACCGCGGCGAGAGAACTTCTGGAATTTCTTCACGAGCATTGCTAGCTCCTGGCTCAGTTCTTCAGGGTCACGAAGGTTGCTACCAGAGTCTTCAGCTTCAGACTCAGAAGCTGCCTTGGCCTTCAATGCACATGATCTTACATAGCTCGGTCCATAGAGGTCTCTCTTCTTAGCAAGTTGGAACTCATGTGTGTTTAGCCTCTTGAGGATATCAGCGAGATATAGTGACTTGTAATCAGCTCGCTCTTGAATCATCAGTGCGAGGGTATCGAATGAGGTGTCAAATGATCTCAGCAATTTCTTCACCACCTCATGATCGGTGATGTCAGTGGCACCAAGTGCTTGAAGCTCATTTGAGATGTCAGTGAGGCAATCGAAGGTTTGCTGAATATTTTTGTTGACGAGTCTTTTTAAGCGATTGAAGAGATTGCGAAGGACATCAACTCGGGAGTCATGTTGAGTTGAGACTCCTTCGTTGACCTTGGACAGCCTGTCCCAAATCAGCTTGGCAGTTTCCAGAGCACTCACTCTGCCGTACTGTCCTTTGCTCAGATGACCACATATGATACTCTTCGCTTGAGAATCGAGTTGCTTGAATCTCTTCACGTCAGCAGCATTCACAGACGAAGTGGCAGAGGGAACGCCATTTTCCACAACATACCAGAGATCGTTATCAATTGCCTCAAGATGCATGCGCATCTTGTTCTTCTAGTAGGGGTAGTCCATCCCATCAAAGGTAGGACACCCAGCCGAGACCTTGATCATAGCTGCAGTCGACATAACTAAAACTCCAGGTGGTTAAACCAAAATCACACAGAACAAGGGAGTACCTTGCTCTGATACCAATTGAAAGTGCGTTACATCGACTAGAGGGAGGTGAATAGGCGATTTTTATGAAATCTTCACTGAGGAATTTCAGGGTGAGGAAATTCCTAAGCAAAGAACTACTTGCAGTGGAATACGTACTCAGGTATAAGTATAACAGAGCAACAACATAGTCATCATGATGAAATGAAAGACAAACACAGAGTACAGGAAGCGTAAACACATGATAAGCAGGATGAAGACAAACTGACTGAAGAAATAGAATTGAGAAATTAGAGAAAGTCTTCAGTCAAAGTCTTCAAACAGTAATGATCAGGTTCATCAACATATAACTGAGAAAATGAAAGGGTTGAGGAAATAGAACCAGTAGGCTTGGTGAAGATAATGATTTGGTAGAGCAGTTCCAACTGCTGTGACAGTTGTACGTCTGGTTGGAGCGGCTGAGTATTTAAACTCAAGGACACACAGTCCTGGACACACAGTCCTCACCATATTCTCCTTGAGCTAATATCACACAGACCTCGCCCAACAGTAGTGGTAAGTCTTCACAGGTGACTTCCAAACCTTCACATACTTGGTCACTCGGCAATCCACAATTCCTCTTGGATGCTCAGACCATGATGCCTAACCGTCTGGAGGATACACAGTCCTCAAAGGTAATAAGCGTCGGTTCCACACAAGAACAATCTCTTCAGTGATGCTTAATCACTTTGGGTTTGTAGGTGTTTGGGTTTGGGATTTGGGTTTTTCCTCACTTGATGATTTTCGCTCAAAGTCCTCGGAGGATGGGTTGCTCTCAAATGACAAGTGTCAGTTTCTCTCGGAGCAGCCAACCAGCTAGTGGTTGTAGGGGGCGGCTATTTATAGCCTAGGGAGCAGCCCGACATGATAAGACATAAATGCCCTTCAATGATATGATCGTTAGGTGGTAGGATATTTTGGACAGCTGGTGCATGGCACATCAACGGTCGGATTTGAGGTTCTAGTTCTTCAGGGCTATCATGTTCCTCACTGTGTAGGCAATCCGCACTCGCGAATTCCTAACTTCTCAGCCAGAACAAATTCCTCAGAGACCAGAAGATCTTCGTCTCTGTCACTGAAGAAATTGACTAAACTGATATGAGATTTCCAATGGCTTCACTCGAAGGATTGGGTAGGTGTAGGATTTTGAGATGATCATCACTTGGAAATCAGTTTCCTTAGTATTACCTCGACCCCCTTTAACAGTACGGTGTTTCCTATGGCTCAAGAAGAAGAAAATGAAACTACGAAAACAAAAGTCTTCACGCTTCATAATCCTTGCATGAATATCCAAGTCTTCAATGTCACACCAATTTCTTCACTTTCAAAGTCTTCAGGAGAACCAAAGTCTTCAGCCGAAGACATTCATATTTAGGGGTCGACTTTCACTGTAAATATCAAACTCCTCATCGACTTATAGAACATGTGTACATTCACAAACACATTAGTCCCTTAACTTATAAGTCTTCAATACACCAAAATCACTAAGGGGCACTAGATGCACTTACAACTATGTGCAAGAGTCATGAAAGGACGGTATTTTCCTCATCGTTTCTTCATGGAGGCCACAGTACCGCACTCTTCTTCAGCGATTTGGCGCGCTATTGTGGCCGGAAGAGAGGCTCTACAGTTGGGCTTGATCAAAAGAATTGGCGACGGGACTACTATATCCATATGGAATGATAGATGGATACTGGGTACTCCCTCGCTCTCTCCTAGGGTGATGCGAGGAGGAACCACCTTGGAGTTTGCCAGTCAGCTTATAGACACAAATTATTGACTTGGCGATCTCAGCTTGTTCGTGATGTTTTCATCTCACCCGATGCGTATGCAATTTTAAATATCTCTTTACGCAATGGGGGGTGAGGATTTTTGTGTGTGGGCTCATGAAGGCAATGGCATCTATTCTGTAAAATCAGCATACCATGCTCTAGTGAATCAGAAAGAGCGTGCCGCTCTAGATGAAGGGACGGCTACAAATACTTCACAGACCGATGAACAGATGTGGAAGCTGTTGTGGAAGCTCAAGGTCTTGCCGAAGGTTCGTGTCTTCTGGTGGAGAGTGGTCAGGGGCATTCTTCCGGATGAAAGTACACTAAAACATCGGCATATACGACCCATTAGCAGATGCAATGTCTGCCTTGCGATGGATGAGGATTTGATGCATGCCCTAGTGCATTGCTCTCGTGCCAAATTGTTCTGGGAACAAGCACATGAGCTACTTGGTGTTAGAAGACCGAGGCTGCACCCGTATACATGGTCTAGAGATATTATTTGTGACAGTCAATTCACAGAGGTGGAGAGAGCTCAAATGATCTCTGTTATGTGGGCAATATGGCACTCCAGAAACAGAATCACCCATGATGGAGAGAAGCTTGATCCTCTGGCCACAGTGAGACGCATCAGAGAAGATTTGGCGATACTTGATATTCCTTCTTCACATGCTTCGATCCTCCCCGGACATGAGTGGCGACCGCCAGATGAGGGTGTTGTCAAAATTAATACTGATGCGGCTATAAACATGGATCCGAACAAGGCTGGAGCAGGAGGTGTGGCACGTTCAACCTCGGCTTTGTTGGGAGCTTGGAGTAAACCCCACGACGGGGTGACGGATCCATTCATAGGTGAGGCCTTGGCGCTCCGTGGCGGCGTCATCTTTGCAAGCTTGCGAGGTTTCTCACATGTGATTATGAAGACAGACTGCCTAGAGGTCGTTAACCTCTGGAACACTCGCCATAATAGTCTTTCTATAGTGGCACCCTTATTTTTAGAGATTGGAGAGCTAGCTTTCTCTTTTACGTCTTTTGTTATTCAACATGTAAACAGATCTGCCAACGCACCGGCCCATCTCTGTGCGAAGCATGCTTGCTCTGATGGTCACCGAGAGTTGGACAGGTTCTAGATGATGCTAGGAGTTTCTTGGTTGAATAAAGCTCTCAGATTGAACGCAAAAAAAAAAGATACCGACAATCAAAATGACGGCGTTGGACGGCAAGACACATTCAGACCGCACGGTCCGAACGGATGCGAGTGGTTTGAGAGACGGCAAGACACATTCAGACCGCACGGTCCGAACGGATGCGAGTGGTTTGAGAGTCCGCATGGAGATGCTGGTTTGTTTATGGGATGAAAGCAAAAGTTTCTTGGGTTTGTTTCCAGGGAGCAGAAACCAACTTTGATCTTTGGAGGAGTACAACACACAGAAACAGAGCAGAGGTAATTCACACTTGCAATTACAATTTGAGATTTTCGGAGTACTGTCTCATAGCTCTCCCGTAGGCTGGCCTTTGGGGAGACCGGGAGAGAGTTCCGCACCAGCTTTCTGGCAAATGTACGTACGTACCATGTCAAGAAACAAATCAACAAGGCAGACACCGACGATCTGCTTAGCATAACAGCTCTACTAACTAATTAAGCAGCGGCCTTATGCTGCTGTCACCTCATGCGAACTCTCTCTGCAGCGGCGGCTACACCTGGGCGGCGACCTTGTCGACGGACTGCTCGTCGACGTCGACGGCGGTGTCGGCGACCTTGATCTTGGCCTCGCCCATCTCCACCGCGGCGGCCGCCTTCTTGGCGTCCTCCACCTCGTCGGCCTCGTCGCCGGCGTCCTCCCCTTTGCCGGCCGGCACGGCGCCGGCGGCGGGGCCCTTGTTCTTCCGGTAGATGGCGTAGAGGATGAGCTGCATCAGGCCCAGGAAGCTCCCGCACCCGTTGGGGATCTGCATGCATGCGCGCGCGTAAAAAAAACTACTCCCTCCGTTCTTAAATATTTGTTTTTTTAGACATTTCAAATGAACTACCATATAAGGATGTATGTAGACATATTTTAGAGTGTAGATTTACTCATTTTGCTTCGTATGTAGTCACTTGTTGAAATCTCTAGAAAGACAAATATTTAGAAACGGAGGGAGTACGTGTCAGCTTGTTTTTACTTTTGAACTACAGGTTGTACTCCAGCAATGCGCCCCATGTCTCGCTGTGTGTTGCAACTTGCAAGTGGTGGGCACTCTCCCAATCCATCCGCTCCAAGGACTAGGAGCATTCAATGGCTACAGCTAGCAGTGCAGCGCACACCGGCCGTGCGGTGCATGGGTCTGCTAGTACCCATCGGCCAGCGCGATACGGGTGGATCACGGATCAGATCGATCATCAGAACCGAACGACATGTCGATCGGATCGTGGCTTGCCAGGGGTGGAGAAGAGAAGAGAATGACGTACGTAGATGAAGGGGTCGAGGCCGAGCAGGCCGTAGATGAACCAGGAGGTGCCGCAGAGGAACACGGACAGGGACAGCAGGAACGGCATGTACTCCACGCTCTTGGTCTTGATCACCAACCTCTGCGCACGCACACACGCACGGCCCATGACTCGGTTAGTGAAAGTTACTAGCATGTACGTACATCAATTCGCTGGGCGTGGGTAGCGTGCGTGCGTACCATGATGGAGAGCGGCGAGGCGTACATGCAGATGGAGAAGACGGTGGCGGCGAGGCCGCAGAAGACGGTGCGGGCCCTGCCGTGCAGCGCCAGCAGCGACACCAGCACCACCGTGGCGAAGATGGTGGTGACCACGCTGAGGAGGCCCAGCATCCGGATCTTGGCCTTGCGCTCCGCGAAGATGAGGAAGATGACCACGTAGATGGCCTCGATCACCGACCCCGCGCCGTTGATCGTCGTCACCAGGATGTTGTTCGGGGACACGAACGGCAGCCCGTACCTTCATCCACCCAACCACAAACCAACCATCAGTCAAATTTTCTCTCGGGAGAAATGTTTTACGATCTAGCAGGTGGAAAGTAGAAGCACATGAACGTGAGGACACGTCACTGCCCGGCTGGCTGGCAACGCCGACAGGCCAGGGTGGCCGTGCGCGAACCGTGACGCACAAATTTATCGTTCCCGGGCCCGTGGTACTATTCACTGTCGCGGCGCTGGCAGGTGGGTCCAGGACCAGCTTTCTTTCTATCTACCGGGGAAACCGGACACAGGCTAGTCTACGCTAGGAGCCAACTCACGCCTGGCTCCATCAGCTGCAGTGTTTCTTCTGCACTGTTCGCTCACATGTTTGAATATGTACATGCCTAGAACAGATCCAGCAGGCGATCCTTGCAGGTTGCAAGCACGGAATTTTTCACTGTAAATTGAGCTGCTTTTGTGAAAAATGGCATGGAAGAACCGAAGAAGAATCAGTCGTGCATGCGAAGGCTGTGTGTTGCCACTACTACTTTTTAGAGAAAAGGCCGGTGTGTCTAGCCTCTAGTAGTAGTACAAGAGTGCAAGGCTGTGTCTGAAGCATGTGATGGTTGGGGAGCGGTTGGTTACCATGCGGATAGGAGGCAGTTGAGCAGCGTCATGTTGTATGGCACGCCGGAGAAGTCCTCCGTCGACTTCCTCTTGATGATCCTCCAGAAGGTGACGCTGCAGCAACACAACAGAAATTTCTCACCGCTCAGAACAGAAGATATTAATCGAGCACGCTGGAAAAATGTACTGTAGTTCAGAGCTTCAGGAAAAATGGTAACAACAATGGAGTGCGACATGATAGTTGGTTAGTCTGTCTCTAGATAGATGGTACACAGATTCTAACTTTCAGTCGGCATCAAAGATCTGCAGGGTTTCATGTGCTGACTAATGGTTTCTCAGAACCACTCTTCGAGAAAGAAAGAAATGGTGCGTGGAGAGGAAAGCGAAGTGCAGAGAAGGCTCCAAGAACAGGTTCTTCAGATCCCGTCTTTGTGCTCACACCACAAGAGCTCAGCGAAAGAAACACAGGGAGAATCAAGGAGGCGGTGCGCCACGGGAGCACTTACACCGGCGACAGGAAGAGGAACAGAGCGATAACATTGCCTGGCAAATGGAAAACAGCAGTCAGACTCAGACCAATCCACAAAAGAAGACGGTGGAAAGAACGCCAAACAGAGGGAAGAAGAACATCGGCCATGGCGCTCGCTCACCAGAGACCCCGAAGAAGAACCTCGCGATATGCTCCATCTCGGCGCCTCTACCCCAAGAGCACGGTGGGGGGAGAGGGAGAGGTGAGGTCTATCTATCCTTCTCGTGCGAGAGAGAGGAGAGGGGAGGAGTGGAGAGGACAGAGGAGCACTCAGCTGCACCGAGTAGCTCTCAGCTCCCAACGGCTCGGTAATCAGTACCGCGCTAGGCAACACGGGAGCTAGCGTTACGAATGCGGCGTGTCTTTCTCTGCGCCTGCGGTGATGTGTGGCTGGACTGAAGAGGTGCGAGCAGGGAGACGATATATAGGGAACAGAGAGAGGTGAGCAGGATGCGGAGGGCACGCTTCATTTCGAGCTTATCTACTCCTGTGTGACGAAAGAATGTTGGGTGGGAAAACACAAATACGCTCCGGCAGTGATAATTCAGCAACACCGGCATAGTACGTACTCTAGTACGGTCTATACATCGGTACAGGACACTGTCATTTCCTTCAAACCAAAAGTGCTCTCTCGAAATTCTCCGTTAATCTCTTCAAACGGCTCCAAAATCTTTTTTTCACGAATACGCAAGCTGTGTATCTTTGTATTGATAGAAGGAGAATGTAGCATGAGATTACAACACATACAAAGCCATGTACACGATAGGCATGGTGCACAAGCGTCGGAGCAAACTAGAACAAGGGGTCTGCTCAGCCCTAAGTGGCAAGACTAGCAACTACGCGCCGGGGATGATGTTAAGTAGCCCTTTGGCGCCTGCCTTGGCCCAGAGGCGCGCCTCGTCTTTGATGGTGTCGGTGATGCGAGTGAGCGCGGTGGCCACTATAGCTCCAAAATCATCTCTCCCAGCTGAAAAATTACCACTATGGTGGCCACTATAGCTGCTGGGAGAGACCGTCGCAAAATAGTTTCTCCCACGATTTTAATCTTTGACTAGGGCATTGGACTTTAAGGTTTCGAGTCGGAGAGAAGTTTTTTTAGCATCAATTTCTTTTAATCTTGAATAGTTGTATTTTCATGTTTTTTCTGAAATGGGGCATCCTGTCGATTTCTATGTGTGTGATGCCGTTATACCGAGGCATCTCAATGGTCTCCATCGATGGCGGCACGCGGACTGCATTTTGGTTGGACAATTGTCTTGGATGTGGAGTTACCTGCAACCGCCACCCCAGTTCTCTCATGCTTCGGACCCTTGGCGACCATGTGATATCATCTTCGCATGCCTTGTCGCCGTGAGCTTTCAGGACGTTGTTCATGGTCGGTACTCGGGTGATGCTCACCTGAGGTTGCTCCACTGCTACCCAGCCCTGGTCAGGATCCCTCTGAGAAACGACATGGGCGTTTATTCTCTTGTGATGCTCGGGTCCTTGGAAGCACCGGGTTAGTGGCGGTGCCAGTGGAGGATTGTGGGGGTTGATGGTTGCACCTTAACGTGAGAGGGGAGGGGGCACCCTCCCAGTTAACTGTTGCTTCTTCAAATGTGTCGCGGGGGCACTTCGGTGCGGAAAGCTCATCTTGCCATCTCCAACCGACACCATGCTTATCGTTGGCTCGGCTGCCTCGGCAATAGAAAATGTGCTGGAGAGTCGTTGGTCGCCGTCCCTTCTTATATGCGTTCTTTGTCCTGTAAAACTCATTGTTTTTCCTTCTTCGAAAAGGCAATATATTAAGTGTCACAAACACTCATACAGAAAAATGAATTACATCTAAATCCTTTGGGCTGACGAGATTTTCTTCCTCCCTCATCCACCGACGACGCACCCGTGGGCAAAGCCCGATGCCGCCTCCGGGCCTCCTCCTCAGTGAAGCAAATATGCTAAAGCGCAGAATTTTGTAGAAGCATAGGTCGTGAAGTCGTTGATTTAGACCATAAGACGTAGTTCAGGGCTCGCTTTGACATGAAAATTCAGATGGAGAACCCCTCCGCACGTGACCATTCAGAAAAAGTTAAAATTGGAGAGTTTCGCTTGTGAGGTGGTAGTATTGGTTCGGGTAAAGAGAGCCGCTTGATTTGGAGCTGGAGAGAAGTTTCTCCCAGGATCAAATCATTTGTTGCGACCGGTTGCATTTTCATGCCTGCTCCATCTTTTCTTTATGTGTCCCGCTCGGCACGCAACAGGAAACCAGCCAGTCTCGGAACAACAACAAAACACATGCGTGCACCGGAGCATGCCGGGCCAACGGACAGGTCTTCCCAAGGCCAACCCCAGCACACAACCCCAAATTATCCGGGTGTGTCTGTCTTGACCCAAATGGACAGAAAAGATGGTCCAACACGCGACCCCATCAGCAAAATATGTTTGTTTCTTATCCGGCTCGATCCATTCCGGATACAAATTTGGTCGAGCTTTGACCACGTTCATGTTGGAATTTGCTGGTGGACTTTTGGCCCAAAGCCCAACTAAAATTCTGAAATTCTCTTAGCCCATTCATGCACACATGTGAGTGAAGTGAGTGAGGCTAAAGTTTAGTCCCATCTTATAAGTTGAGAGAGAGTTGCACCTCTTTATAAGGTGAGCTCCGGAGTTATTACGTTGGATTATATCCAAACGTCGAAAAACTTGGTAGATCCCTTCACAAAGGGTCTATCACGTAATGTGATAGATAATGCATCGATGGAGATGGGTTTGAGACCCACCGCATGAGTTGTCCATAGTGGTAACCCACTCTATGTGATCGGAGATCCCGTGAAGTAGAAGTGGGAGACAAGCTGTTGGTCAGCTGAGAGGAGAGTATCCTTATTTTAATTATCCCACTCCATAAAGATGCAATACTCTCCTGATCTGCATGGCAGGTTGATATCTATCTTAATGTGTTTCAAGTGGCTTATTTGAGTAAGCAGAGATGTTGTCCTGCAGAGCATCTCCTGAGGAACACACCTATATGAATTTGACTGTTAACGTCGCAGTCTGTGAGAAGTGGGTGCTCTCTAATAAATTCATGAAAGGCCCTGGAGTACGACGTATACGCTCCACCCGTGGGGAAGCCTTGCGGCAGCCCAGTACCGGTCAAGAATTTGTGTGAAACTAGTCTCGCAGAAAACTTATAGTTCAAGGCATAGTCCACTATTCAAGTTGTGATCTAGTGTAGCATAAATCTCTAAGTGGAAGTTCAACTTCACAGTCTCCACTAAGCACCGGTATATAAACAATGTTTTGGAACCAAATGGTGAAATGTGCCAATGAGACTTTGTGGGGGATTGTTGGAATTTGCTGGTGGGCTTTTGTCCCAAAGCCCAACTAAAATTCTGAAATTCTCTTGGCCCATTCATGCACACATGTGAGTGGAGTGAGTGAGGCTAAAGTTTAGTCCCACCTCATAAGTTGAGAGAGAGTTGCACCTCTTTATAAGGTGAGCTCTCCTACCACTTGTATGAGCATGAGAAGAAGAGACCTACACGCGCGCTCCTCCTCCTCACTCGCCTCGCCACGCCACGCCTCGCCTCGCCTCGCCTCGTCACGACGCGCCGCGGGTTGCGGGATTGAGCAGAGCCGAGGACAGAGCTATGCACGTTGTCTATATTTTTGCTGCTCGGGAAAAATTAATGAGTCATTAATTAATAATTAATGGACGCGTTAATTACTGAACCGTTTCAGGTTCTTTTGGATCGTGACAACTCGGACGTGGGGTTTACTCCCACGACCTACCCGGCCCGCACTATATAGTCAGGCAGACGTCTATCCTAGCCGCGACCGTTTCTCGTATGGTTTCTCACCGCCGTTCTAGACCATTGCGCCGCCAATCAAGTCTTCTCCATCCCTCCTTTCGGCGTGCACCGGGAGAAGAGACAGCAGGCCTCCGGAACCCCGCCTCTCTTGATCCTGTACGGGAGAGGGGCGATCAGGTTTTTGGGGAGCGCACTCGCGTGACTGCTGGCAGCTACGACTTCGCGAACGACGACTTCTTCCCCGACCTCGGCAACCTCATCCTCGACGACATGGGCGACAACATCAACGCCGGCGGTGCTGCTCCCGCTGCACCGTATGTGATTCTATATTTCATGTTCGAGATCGTGGTAGAATTCATGTTTCTAGTATGTGCCCTAGATGTGATCTGTTCATCTATTATGCTAGTTTGCATGATTACTTCAATCTCTGCTACTGTAGTCATGATTTATTTTCTGTTAATTCGGATTAATTCTCGTAGTAATTTGCTCATATTTTCAACAATCCAAAAACCTGATCATAGGCAATTTACTCCGAGTGGTTTTGCTGTGCATCTGAAGCCGCCTGCCTTTAAGGGGGCGCAATATAAGAGGTGGCGCACGAGAGCAGTCTACTGGTTTCAGACCATGGGCTGCTATGACGCCACTAAGGGCAAGCCTGAGGGCGATCTTAATCCAGCACAGCTGGAAGCTTTTGAGAAGATCGATACTCTCTTTAAAGGCGCTCTTCTGGGTGTTCTTGATGATTCCATTGTGGATTCATATATGTCGTTTGACAACGGCAAGGACATGTGGGCTGCGCTCGAGGCCAAGTTTGGTTCCTCGGACGTCGGTAGCGAGTTGTACGTCATGGAGCAATTCTATGACTACAAGATGACTGATGAGCGCTCTGTTGTACAGCAGGCTCATGAGATACAGTCGCTCGCAAAAGAACTTGAGCACTTCAAGTGTGTGTTGCCGGACAAATTTGTTGCCGGAGGCATTATCGCCAAGCTTCCACCTTCGTGGAACAATTTTTCTACTTCCCTGAAACACAAGAGACAGGAGTTTTCCGTTGTGGATCTCATTGGTACTCTTGATGTTGAAGAGAAGGCGAGAGCAAAGGACACACATGCTCGAGTTGTCGAGGGAGCTTCTAGTGCCCACATGGTACAGAAGAAGAACTTCCAGCCCAATAAGTTCAAAAACAACAAGAACAAAACTCAGGGGAAAGACAAGTATGATACAAAGAACAAGCCATCACATTCTACCAACTTCAAGAAGAATTCTCATAAGAAGGGGAAGGGACTTTGCCATGTCTACGGTGATCCTAATCACTGGGCTCCGAAGTGTCCTAACCGCTTTGAGGAGCGCGAACATGAGAAGGGCGGCAAGTC